GGTCTTATTGTTGTCTTGTTGTTTGTTTGTTTTTTTGTTTTTTGTTTTTATGTATTAACCTGATAAAAATAGTGATAAGTTTAGAATTAATTATTTCGACTCTAATCACACCGTGATTTCAGGTTCAAACTTCTCTCCGTGTAGAGTCTTACACCGCTCTTGGGAGTTAGTCCTTGAACGGCCGGGAGAGGTTAGAATCTATAAACACGTAGGGTCGTATGCGTATTTTTGTCCTTTTCAATTTTTTCAAAGCGTGACGCACACATGGCGCGAACATCACGGACCACTTTAACTATACGCTCCTGCTTGTAGATTTTAGTTTCTGAATCCGCCCATTTTTCTCCCTCCGTCTGATTACCGTGCCTCACCCCTATTTATTTCGCTCTTCGGAGTTTCCAGTGTAATTTATATTATTATTAAGATATTAATTAATTTAATTTACTTCCTTAATTAGGTATGTATTTATTTTACTTACTTGTTTATTTATTTATAATAAATCAATAACTAAATAAGTAAGTAAATTAAAAATTAATTAATTAATAAGAATAAGCTTAAAATATGGTAATTGTTACTGTTTCTTAAATTACTTTTATTTTTATATAGGATAATTTTTTTTATAATTTCGATTTTAAAAATCTTTCCACAAATATTTTTTAAAATCTGATAAGTTTTCCTATTTTATTTTTTCTAATAAAAATTAATAATAATAAATGTGATATAAATAAATTTATAACAAAAGAAATATCGAAATCCATCATGCTTTAAACCATTTTTGTGTTAATAATTTTTAAAGAGTCAAAAGTACCGGGAACGGATTTGGATTTGTACAGACTACTGCGGGTCCGGCTCGGTACAAGTTTCAAAGCGTCAAGCACCCGGCGTTTTACTGACATTCGTCCGTCTAGCAACCAGTGCGGACCAAATTATATTCTCTATTGAAAACTAAAATAAAAGAAATGTTTAATTAACTGTGCAAGGTGCATGTTAATTAATATTTATTATTTACTACAAATTAATTAAATTCATCTTTTTTTCTTGTTTAAAAAAGTTATAAAGTATAAATTATATGCAATAAGTTATAAATGTTTATTTTGCTTAATTTTGTATTTATTTCGTATAGTTATAAAGTAAAGTATTCAACTAATTATTCCTACACTGTAAGAAATTCTTATTGAAATTTCATACGACCCACGATGTACATAAAGTTACAACAGACCATCGTATGAATTTTACATTTTGATTATAAAATTACCGTCTGCCATGAAATTTCAACAGAAAACCATATACTGAACATAACCTTAAAATATATTTTATTCACTTTTTTTTCTTGCACGTTTATAATATTTATATAAATATTTTTTTAAATAATTATTAGAATGTGTTTAAGTTATAAAAATGAATACTTTTTTTATAATATAATTAATGATATATACGTTTAAAATAGAATAATATATTTTTCCGAAATAAAATTTTTAAGCGTAATAAAATTAAACAAATATGTAGAACTTTCAATACTCCCGGTAAATTTACACATCCTACCATGTGAAATTTAACCAGGTTTTTATTGAAAATTCACACGTTGCTCGATTGTAACTTTATGTACAGCGTTGCTCCTGTGAAAATTAAACATTTCTGGTAAAATTAATGAAAGTTGGTAAATTTAAATGGACTATCTAATTAAAATTCTTTTAATCTAGTGATATTCATACGACATTCGAATGAAAATTTTACACATTCACATGAAAATTCAGAAAGGATTTTTTACAGTGTAAATATAAAATACGATCGACTTGGTAACTAAGTATCACTTCGTGATAATTAAATACAAATATACACGGAGAGAAATCTGTTGCTATTATTGCTTGCAGAATCTTTACAAATTTTATTAGTCACTGCTGAATAGAATTTTAGCTTGAGGTTATAATAATTTATATACGAAATCATCTATTTAATGTAATAGAGAGTTCGATGCAATATACACAAAAAGCAGCTGCTAATTTTGCACGAAATCTTTATTATAAATATAAAGAGAACGTGCTATAAAAGTATTAGATTCTTCTTATAAGAATCGCTCGAACTCCGACTGATTTTCAGGCGGACTTTATACAACACAATCCTACCTGCGTATACGCACATATAACTCACACACACATATATTTCTCTGGATGGTTTCGAGGAACGGAACGCGTACAAAGCGGTGACGTTTGCAATAACATAACCTAACAATTTTCACATGTTGCTTATATATTCAAACACGAATAAAAATGCAATAATTTTTAAATAATATACTTACTATTAAATAAATATAATATTTTTATAACAGCAACAAGTATTAAATACTACATATAATATATAATAATGTTTTACAGGACAAAGAAATATCAAATATATATATAGAGAGAGAGAGAGAGAGAGAAATATATGTGTGTGTGAGTTATATGTGCGTATACGCAGGTAAGATTGTGTTGTATAAAGTCCGCCTGAAAATCAGTCGGAGTTCGAGCGATTCTTATAAGAAGAATCTAATACTTTTATAGCACGTTCTCTTTGTATTTATAATAAAGATTTCGTGCAAAATTAGCTACTGTCTCTTATGCTTATTGCATTGAAAGTATTTTTACAATAAGTATATGAATCGATGCTAAAAATATAAGAGAAACGTTAAGCAATTTAAGTAATGTGCTCTTTCGAGTAATATTAGCAGCAGATTTCTCTCCGTGTAATGTTTATAATAAAATATCAACAAAACACAAATACCTATGTTAAAAGTAATAATAAAACAAACATAGTTTATCTATTCGTTATAATCTCGGTTTAAAAGAGTTGAAATGAAGTAAAATACAATATATTTCTTAGTTATTGCAGTTTATTATATTTCACACATTTATAAATTTATATAGAAAAAGGTAATGAACCTTAATTAAAAGAATGAGACTTCAGATACTAATGTATTGTGAAACTTAAGGAGTGGTGTGTCCAGGTTGATGAACCAGGATCACACCACTGTCAACGACCAAGGTGCAATAAACTAAAGAATGATTTCAACACTGTAATGTCGATTAATAAAATAGATTGACACAGGGTAATCTGGGCATTTGCCCGTGGGTCTTCGCGATAGTAAGTCGTGGGGCAGCTTTGCCGTAATTCTGAGTATCAAGAAGTTCTCAACAATTATTATTGAAAATTGTTAATGAAGTTTAAAGTGAAGAATAAAAAAAGCGCTAAGTGAGAAATCGTATTAGGATAAGTTGATTTAAAATAAATATTAGTGAAGTACGAATAAATCGATTAATGAAAAATGATACATTGACGAGAACGAATTCTAAGAAGTTTAAAGGAATAATGTCAAATAACGAATAGGTGAGTTAATTGTTTACATACACTCAAATAATATTTCACACACACACACAAAAATTATACATTTGAAAAGATTTTTTTTTTTTTTTTGCTTAAGGACTTTTGGGAAATCTGCCTACAGATACCTTGGATTCCGCACTCCAAGGTTATGTGGGGTTGGTATGATAAAAAAAAACAAAAAGAAATATAAAAAAAGAAAAATAAATAAATGTTATAATAAATTTAACAAACTGGCTTAGGTCGAAAAAATCAATTTGAGTTTTTTATGGTAATCGACAGATTTTATGTTGCTTTTTCAAATGCAAAAGTCAGAAGTTAAAAATATCAATTACTTTCGACAATATATCGTTTTAAAGATGGGTATGTCAAGCGTAGTTAACTTCAATCGTCGACTGTCCACGACAAAACACGGCTTAGGTCGAAAAAATCAATTTGAGTTTTTTATGGTAATCAACAGATTTTATGTTGCTTTTTCAAATGCAAAAGTCAGAAGTTAAAAATATCAATTACTTTCGACAATATATCGTTTTAAAGATGGGTATGTCAAGCGTAGTTAACTTCAATCGTAGTACTTCAATCGCTCGCCCTGTGAAATTCACGTTTGGGAGCTAAGCCTTGTTTTCTCGTAGACAGTCACATATGTATTGGGGATTTAAGGAAAAGAACAATATATTATAATTATTTCTTATTATGTTAACTTCATTTAACACGTCATTCAAATTTCATGAATTCCACTAATAATAAAAGTAGAGATTCTCACCTCACTACTTAAACAATAAGTAGGAAGGAGGGGATCCACTACCAAACTTTAAAGGTTATAAGTTTTCTTGTGTAATATTTTACCTTTAATTTTATTAATAATTAATTAAATTATTATTCATAATTTTAATATATTACAATAAATAATATTAAAATAAAGATAAATATTAAAAACATTGAAGATTAAATAAGAATATAATAAAACTTTAAATTTATTTGTATAATATAAATAAAATGTTATAATAATAAAAATTATTATTCACTTTATATATAAGTTGTTGTTTCCTAGCGGTATTGTATATTGGCGTTGTTATGCTCCCATCCGCAAGCGAGCGAATAGCGTAGTGGTTAGCGTATTAGACTTCGGTGCATAGATTAGGATAGACTTGGGTTTCGTATCCTCCTGCGAACGTTTAGAATTTTAATGTGTAAAAAAAGTGTTAAATGTGTAAAAAATGCTTCAAATAATCTATAAATAAATATTAATTAACATGCACCTTGCATAGTTAATTAAACATTTTTTTTTATTTTATAATAGAGAATATAATTTGGTCTACGCCGCTTGCTAGGCGGACGAATGCCGGTACAACGCCGGTCCCGCTGGACTGAGTTGTCTTTCGGCTTTAAAACTGCTAAAATGTGGAATAAATTTGTTATTAATAATATTTTTTTATCTGCACTAAAAATAAATGTTTACACAATTCTAGGCTTCCAAGTCAATAATTATTAATAGTTAACATTGAAAAAATATATTTTCTAATCTTCCCGACTTAATAACATATTACAATGTAGAATAATTTCTTAAAATTAGACTAATTTTGAAGATAGATAAATTTTTAACAATTTTTTCCAATAATTTCTTTAAAAAATTAAAAACATAATACCTCTGATATCCCCAACTGTTGTGTAGTTGAAGAGCAGTGGTGCACTTCTGGACTATCGGGGCTTCTACCACAACCACCTCCATAATCTGGTAAATCCATTTTCTTTCAAAATGTCTATATCAAATAAAGCAAAAACATTTGTTCATAAAGTTTTCAGTAATTATTTGCAATATTAATTTAATTTTGTCATTTTAAAGCTAGGATTTTATGAAACAATTCAAAAATTTTATTTAATTACATGTAGAATTTTTATAAATCAGAGGAGAATTAATTTTTATAAATTAATAACATTTATTTACTTATTTATGTAAGATTCTATAAAAGTCTAACCTTTTTAAAGTTAAAGCAAAAGAATAATTCATGACTTTTGTTTTAAAGTTTTATGTTAATTTTAGATGTTCAAGAAATATAAAGGAAAAACAAATTAACAAGTCTCTGATAACAAAATAATTGATCCAATTGACACCAGAGATGGTGAATCAAAAGACATTTATTAAAGAGTGGAATCTGTGCAGTATTTAATATTATTGGTTACATTAAAATTACTCTGAATTCCATAATGGATGAACAAAATGCGACCAAAAGAAGAGAAAAATAATTTGAGCGATTAAAAACTAAGTCAAAGCTATACCTAAAAAATGATAAGCATATTGGCCATCTCTCCGCACACTCTGTTTTTAAAAATTGTAAATTTTAAGAATGTTTCTATGAAAATATTTTATTTTTTATCATTTTTAAGTTAAGTGTTCAATGTTTAATTACACGGAGAGAGATTCTGTTTTAATATTTCGTATTATTATATTAGTATTTAGTAAAACCGATTGCAATTTGGGGAAATCATGTACATTTATGAATTAATATTACCATTTTTAAGAAAGTTTATAATCAAATTATTACTTTGTATTATTCTGAAGTAATAGAAATTGAAATAGTCAATAAGAAGTTGTAATATTATAAGTAAGAAAGTATGCAATAGTAAAAAGTATTACCAGATGATTATACTAAATACTATCGAAGAATTACATAAGTTGTTAATTTAGTTACGAATAGTATTATCGACTATAATAAAAATTATGACCAGCCTAGTAGCAGGCCATAGCAGGCTATGGGCTGACGTCAGGCTGACGTAGAGCGGTTACGAAGCTGTCCGAGATTAGCCGAATATTTCAGTCGAGCAGTTCCGAAATTATCCGAGTCAAACCTCGTGGCAACATGTGCAGGTTGTGTTTACCCCAAAATATTTTAATTTGATGTGTCAAAATGTGTCGGAATTGGGTGAACAATTTTATTTTGTTCATTCAATAATTTTAATCGACAATGAAGATTTCCTAATTGTAGTAAAAGGCATAGTCCATTGTCTTTTAAATGAGCATTTGAGAGCATTCAAAATTTACACGGAAAAAAATTAATCTCTAAATTAGAGATTTAATATGAGATTTAGGCATAAACTATCACTGGAATCGGATGTGTGATTTGAACAGATCTCTAAAACTGAAATTTAGAGTTATATCTAATCCGCATATATTATCAGTGTGAAGAATCCGTATTTTTATGCCTGAAAATGATATTAGAAATCTCAAATTTTATGATTTATCACAATTTAGAGTGAGAATTATTCAAAGAATGTATATTTTTCTTTTAGTATGAACTTATAAACAAATCCATTGACAATCATAAAAAATTGGACATTTTTTGAAGATAATATGAATTTTTTATTATTTCATTTCTTTATTTGAATCAAATTATCTCAACATCACACAATATAAACATTCTTTTTCTATTTCTTAATAAAAAAACATGGTTTGGTACAACTTTCAATATAGGTTAGGTTTTCAAGTGTCAAACGAAAGTTTAACCTGAAAATACTAATAAATAAAAATATGTCCCACCCGTGATAACGCGAAAAACATTCGTAAAATATGGAAAGTGAAAACTGGGAATGAAACTGCATTTAAAATATAAAATTAATACTTAAATAATTAAAATGGTTTAAATATTCTTTGACAATGATGAACTTAAAACGCAATGTAATTCGCATCAGATAAGTTGTGAAATTAACAAATCTCTAAATCAGAGATGTGAATTTAACATACTTACATTCCATTGGATTTCAAATTAATATTATTTCAAGTTTAGATATTAATTTTTTTCCGTGTACGAAAATGAATTAGGACATTGGAAGGTATTTAAAAAAAATGATTTAAGATATGCTGCATTTTCTTATGCCAATAAATTAAATGATGGGTTTTTTTATATAACGAAAAATTGGATATAATTTCAATAGAAATCATTTTCCAGAAACAAACAATTTTAAAAACAGTATTATGATAAACATTTCTGAATAAAATTTTGACCCAGCACACAAAAGTATGTATTTATAATGTAAAATAAATTAAGAACTTTTTTAAACAAAATATGGAGAAAATATCACTTTCTCACAAGTTCAGAAAATTTCTCGAGTTTAGTATATAAGGAAGTTGAGAACTGTATCTCCCAATGTACAGCGTGCGTGCGTTATTGCGTTTATTTGTATTTAAGTTAACTTTATATGTATGCGTTTATAGGTTTTAACATAGATCTCCGAAATTGTATATAGTTTGTGTTTATATAGTATGATGTATAGTATGATGCTTGCGTTAGCTCATTGGTGTGTGTGCGAAATACTTTCGAAACGATAATTCTATCCTCCTCCTTCCTACGTCTTTTTATTTCCTGTCCTTTTCGACTCACTCATAATTTTTAGTATTGACTATATTAAAGATTGAAATATGTATTTTATTCTAAAATTTAAAAGAACTATTTCAATTTTTCTTATTCTTTCGATACTTTCACGGACTGCGATTTTAATATAGTCATTTTTAAAAATTATAATTCTTTTATTAAATTGTATTACAATTTTATTAATTTTTGTAAAATATATCAAGGGCTGCCTACTAATATGCACAATATTAATTTTTAATATAAAACACGATTTCCCTAAATTGAAAAAGAATATATTAAATTCTATTGCCAATTTTAACAAATATTAATACAAAATCTCTCTCCGTGTACAAATAAAAGTTTAGACAAAAATCGCTTATTTATATTTTTTACAATACATTAAAAAAACTAGAGAATCAACAGAAAATGATGTGAATATGAATAACCTCCCGAAGTTTCAAAAGGCTTTATACGATTGTTTATAAATAAAAAAAATGTTTAAAGTTAACAAGTGTTCTTATGTGAATATGCATTTTTATTAGAAATTTGACGTGCACTTCCCTGTAAAAAAGTATTGGGAGGTACCGGGTACGGGATTCTGTATTGCGAGTGCCAACCTGCCAATACGGAATTCGCGAAATACCGCATTGGGTGTCGTGGTGAATACAGAAGGTGTCCCAATGCGGTGCAAGTTTTAAGCTTTAAAAAAAGGAAATACGTGACAAAAGTAAATAATTAATGTCAGTGGAGAAAAATTCGAGTTAAGATTTTCCGATGCATTTAGTTGTTAATTGTAAGTATTAAGATGTGGGAAGAATAAAACTTGTGAATTGATGAATATGAATATATAAAGAGTGCATTTAACATATTTTTCTTTTTTTTAATGATTGGTTATTGTTTTTTTTATATAAAATTGACGAAGTGAATAAAAGGAAACACTCGTTTCGCGTCGCGTCGGCCATTTATTTTGACAGGTTACGCGCCTGCGTTCCTTTATTGTGAAAGTTTCAAAGTAGAAGACTGAGTCCAGTTGCTCTACTATGCACACTGCAGCGCGCCTTATAATCTTCGCCTGTGTTTCAATGCTCTTTAATGTGAAATTTGGAACTAAGGCCCTCTATACACTATACGCATCACCCTAAGATGCTTGATGGAAATGAATTAATGTACTTTTACTGGACTAAGTCCTATTTTTTCAATATTGACTCCCAGTTTTTCAAACTCCATTTTTCTCAGTGAATTAATTTTTACGAAGAAAGTAGACTTTAAAGAAGTATAATTACATCTTGTGTTTTATTATGAATTCTATTATTTTTAATAGTTATTTATAAACCATGAAGGAGTATAAGGAGAAGTATGTATATGTATCCCTTTTGACTGTACTTGACTGCGTAAAACCGCCATGCACGCAAATTGGCATACCGGAAATTTGTTCACTGATATTAGCGCCCCTACAGGAGAAAATATATACCCTCCATGCTGTCCATAATAAGTTTTGTTTATGTATAGTTTTTTGGTTATGTACCAAGTTGATAATAACAACAAAATAATAGTAATTTGAATTGTTTTATAAAAAATTGCATGTCTAGTTATAAATCAAATAAAAATGCTTCTGAAAAAAGTGTTTTTTTAAAGCACCGAGAATGATAAGTTTATTTAATCCCAGATAGCACGCAAGCTTGCTGCAAACTTGCAGCAAACTTGCACTGCAAGTTTTGCAAGATTTCAGTGCAAGCTTTCTGCAAGTTTGCAGCAAGCTTGAAATGTCTGGACTGCTGCAAACTTGCACTGCAAGCTTGCAGCAAGTTTGCACAGCAAGTTTGTGGAAAGTTTGCACAGCAAGCTTGCTGCAATCTTGCTGCAAAGTTGCAAATTTTTTTTATATATTCATAAAAAATTCTGCTTTTTGTACCTTTTTAAAATTCAATAAAATTAAAATTATTTGCAAAAAAAGGTAAAAAAAAACATAATTTTTTATGCATACAAAAAAATTTTGCAACTTTGCAGCAAGGTTGCAGCAAGTTTGCTGAAAGCGTTCTACAAACTTGCTGTGCAAACTTTCTGCAAGCTTGCAGTGCAAGTTTGCAGCAGTCCAGACATTTCAAGCTTGCTGCAAACTTGCTGAAAGCTTGCACTGCAATCTTGCAAAACTTACAGTGCAAGTTTGCTGCAAGTTTGCAGCAAGCTTGCGTGCTATCTGGGATATACTATTTTGTAAGGGTAAAAGTTTTTATACTTTTACCAACAGATATTTATAAATTTAATGCAAAGAATTTTTGGTTGTTTATTTGGAGTCCTTTCTATTTATATAACGTATAAAACAATTTAATTCTGTTCATCTATTTTACAATACAACACTCAGAGAATCCTCTATAACCTTAAATATCAATCAGCTGTCAAAGATAAAAATACTT